CTACGTTCCCGTGATCACCATTGCCTTTGCCTTTTCCTTCCCGCCCTTTGTTCTCCCTTTGTCATCTTCACTGCCTCGCTCTCGCGCCTTGTCTTTGGTTGCTAAGCAGCCCTTCTAGTATATAAGGACCCCCTTAGGCACTCCCTAGTCCCCATCTCGACCTCTTGGTCATTGGGACTAGGTGAGTGACCATAGCGTTGTATCTCCCTCCGATTGCTAATGTATAACTTGGTCATTGGGACTAGTCTGTCGCTGGTTGCGTGAAGACTAGCTTTCGTCGGTCTTGTGCCTTCGTGCCGACCGCCGCTCTGCCCCGTCGAGTTTTCTGATACGTTTATCCCTCTTACCCTCTCTTCTCCCCTTTCGGCTCCTCGCCGCTCGCCTACGGGGTCGTCGCCGAACGTCGACCCGAGTCCACGCGCCTAGTCGCCGCGACATCATGCCCGGGCTACCCGCACGCGAGATGCCGCTGCCGACGCTACCATACTCGCTGCCGAGCTCGAACTCGTACTCGTTTGGCGTTTGCGAAGGTGAGGGCATGGGCGGAAAGAAGGCGTTCGTTGGCGAGGAGACGAGGGACGGCGACGACGACGCTGCGGAGTATGCCGAGGACTGCGACGACGGGAACGAGAAGTCGAGCGGGCGGAGGCCGTTGGAGCCAAAAGAAGCCTGATCGAACCCGGAACCCACGCCGAGGAATGGCCCGAGGTCGTCCTCGGCGTCATGCCACATCGTCTGGTCCTCCTCGATCTGCGCCTGCTCGCTGCCGTTGCCGTTATCCGAAGCCGCCGGAGGATGGATCCGCACACGGATGCGCCCATCCTTTGCCGCGCTCGCGTCGAACGAGATGTCCAAGCCGCTCAAGCCAAACTTTTCCGCATCCAGGTCGACGAACTCGAGCTTCTTGAACTCGGGCTCACCGCGCTGCTCCTCCGGGGTAAGCGTAGAGGGCGCAAGGTCGAGGTCCATCGCGCTTGTCCCAAAGCCAAGGCCCCAGTCGTAGTCGTTGGGCGGGAACGTCGCCATGTCCAGCGAAGTCGAGTGGGAATGCGAGTGAGAGTGGGAGTGGCCGAATGACATGCTGCTCGGCATCGTGTTGTGCGTGGGCATCGAGAGGAGCGTGGGCAGCGCACACAGAAGGACCTATCCCACAACCTCTGTTCATCTCCGTTCGCAGCAACCAATTCAAAAGCTACGCACCATGAGTCCAAGGCTCGCACCCGACCGCTCCCCCTTGTGCGCACGCAACGACGCCGGCAGCTGGGGCTCCACCACTTCCATCTTCACCGCAGGCTTCTCGACGGACGCCGGCATAGGTCCGCTCGACAGCTTCTCTGCCAGCTCGCGTTCACGCTGCTGCGTCTCCGCGAGTTGCCGCTTGAGCTGCTCAAGCTCCGACTTCAGACCATCCTCGGCGGGAGCTGGCGTCGACCCCTGCTGCTGCTGGATCGAAGCGAGCAGACGGGCGTTCTCCTGCTCGAGCTCTGCGACCCGGCTGTGCGGAAATGAATGTCGTCAGTAACTCTATCCATATTGGCTTCAGGTGATAGGAAACATGTGATGGTACCAGCTCCACAGCATGGCTAGACGCGAACCCGTAGCCATCATTATCATATCCGGACGAGAGCAACATATCTCCATCCATTGACAATCTTACCTCCATGCAATAGCAACCAGGCTAATAAGCAGAAACCTGAGCAGAAGCCGCGCCACAAAGCAGTGCGGCCGCCCTTGATCAGAAGCCATGAACAGATCATCTGCTCACGAGATATGATCCCGGGCGACCTGATGATGTCCTATCTAGATAGCACCCGCCAGCGCGAGCAACGTGTTTCGGAAACCATTGCGGGCCACTAGTCAATGCGCGCTCCGACATGCGTGTGCTTCTCTGCCTGCTCCCCGACAGAGACATCTCTTTGGCAATGATGGTCTCACACTGCGGCCTATCAGAGCAAGGCGCTGCCGCCCCACGCAACGCCGCCTAGACGCTTATCCGGAGGCATAGCCCCGGCCTGCGCTCTCTCTGCTCTCTGCAATTGGGCAACGGAGATGACTGTCTCCCGCTGCTTGACGAGAAGCGAGAGAAAGAGTGATAGGCGAAGGGTAACAGAGCGCATTGCAGGGGCGTGTTGACGCATCGATGAATGGGAACCCGACCCGGAGCAATAGGAAAAACCGGACGCCAATGGTGAAAATAACACTCACATCTCCATGTTCTCAAACTCCTCCCGCTTCCTCTGCCGGCTCAAGAACGCTGCCGCACGGTTCTTGACCAGCCGCGCCTCGCGCTTGCTCAGCCCAGATACGTCCGGGGGCACAAAGTCCTTCGTGCTCACCCGCTCTCCCGAGCGTGCCTTCTTCGTGCTGCCGCAGTTTGGCGGACCGACAGACGGACGCTTCGCAGGCACGACCACGCTGCCCGCCGACGACGTCTTGTCTGATGTCGACCCTGCAGAGAACGTGTGTTGAGAGCCGGACCGCTGCGGGAGCGGCTGCGTCGCGCTCTGGGGAGACGATGCCGGCGTGGACGCGGGGCTGCTTCCCATGACCGGCGTAGGGGTGCTGCCAGGCATGAAGTCGAAGACTTGGTGCGTGGGGAGGCATTGCTCCGCGTCGGGGGTACTGCGGCCCTTGAGCACTTTGCGGGTGTCAGGGAGCGTGCCGGGCATTACAGTAGGCGGCGAGGCGGACAAAGGGAGTGAGAACGGGTCGTAAAGAGCGGCGAGGGCGGGGTCGCGGTCCCATGGGACGGGGAGCGACTCGGATATGGGCGAGGTGAGGGGTGCGTCGGCGGCGATGATGTTGGACATGTGCAGAGCGGGGAGGTGGATGGAGGACATGGCTGCTCGTTTTCGAGGGCAATACTGCCTGTAGGTGGAATGGGAGTCGGGCGGACGGCTGCGGAGGAGGATGGCGACGGAGTGGGGGTTCGGGTTCGAAAAGATGGCAAGGTTAGGAACGCGGACTTATATCGCTCGTCCTGGACGTTGCCGCCAAAGATACCGGAAAGGGGAGGACCTCGCCAGGGAAGTTTAGCTTGCCGACAGACATCACCATCACCTCCGCTCTTCCCCTTTGCGCCATATCTCTCACAAGTCCATCGACACTGCTCCTTTGCAGAGTTTTTCCCTTGTGAGAGGATATTGTTTGCAGAGAGCATCATCAAAGGTTCTCAGCACCCCCGCATCGTCATGGACTCCGTCAACACGCGATCTTGGGCGCGTCCGTGCGCACGGCGGCTAAGCAGGCAGGCATGCCAAATTTGCCGGTTGCGCCCAGGCCTTTGATGCCATGTTCTCACCCTCTTTCATCTTTCCTACGCTCGTCGCCGCGCCTCCGTAGCCAATCGCGCTGCAGCTGCCAGCTTACAGCGAGCAGATAACGACTGTACTACCTCCTGAAGCTTCGCACTTTTGTCTTCTTTCTTGTCTTCCGTCGGTAGGTCATGATCCTCGAGCGACGACCGAGGACACACCGTTCCGCCGATATTCTGACCACTCCGTTTCGTCACCCGCATGCCCTGACTTCGCCTTCACCTTATCCGGTGCCTAGGGCCTCACGCGAAGCCATTAGGACGGGCCCGCAAGATACAGCCTCCGCTGTCCTGGTCATGGACGCTTCACATCCTCCGCCCAAATTGCCGATGCGGGGTCCACTGCCCTTTCCACAGCTTAAGAGGTCAGGATGGACCGTATCCCGCACGGTGACCGCCTATGCACGTGTGGCTGCACGCCGAAGGGTCCGGATCCGCGAGGCCTAAGAGGTGCAATACTCCGAGTGGCTTCGCGTATTCTCGCCCTTCACTAGTCACTGCCGACATCTCCGAGCGGGTTCCATGTCGTGGGCACGTTGCATGAAAGAACTCAGAGCGTGCTTGATGGACAGCTTCTTTCTTGCAACCAACCGTATGGTTGCCTTACTGAAATGCAACTGACATTCGCCAATGCTTCATTGACTGGAGCCCGTAGCGCCGGATTTGGCTTTGACGATCTCTACGCACGGGTTTGCGTCACGAACCCTCGTTCGCTGTAGTGTGGCATCCATGTGCTGTTCTGGATCTTCTGCGTGGCAGTATCTAAGTAAGGATAACCTGTAGAGTACACGAGAAAAGGACAAACCTCGGCCATCCCGTGCGCGAAATGAGATCGCTACCAGAAGGTCACTCACCACATCCCGGCCCCGCTATGTCCTCATTGTCACATGTCAATGTCCAGGTGAGCAGCGTGCCTTTTGCTCAGGCATCGTGCTGGGTAAATTGACGATTGCAAGAATGGTAGCACGGTGTACCCGCTCCGATCGTTTCCTCCTTTGTGGTTTCTGGTCTCACTCCCGTTTTGCACACTCGGATGACAATCGGATGAGAACAGCTGACGCAAGGATGTCTGGAGCGATGCACAAAAGGGTTCAAGGTGTCAATCAGCCTCGCAGTGAATCGACACCAACGCTGTACGTAACACACCTCGCGTCATGATATCCACTTATTCTATCGTGCTCCTGTCATCTAGATCTCCGAAGTCGGAAGCCGCTGCCCCATACTGAAGATCGGGTGTAGCTCCCGGGAGTAAGATGTGGGACCCTACTTCCGGTCATCGGCAAGATAAACGTGAGTAAGACGGCTCCTCTTGTCTCGTGGCTTTGAGGAAGTTCAGTTTGCTTGCTATTGTTTATGATATGGGCGGTCGCGTACCCATACCCGAAAGCAAAGCGAGGTCTTACCGTCGGGCCGCTAGCAATCCAATGTGTCTTCAGAGGTAAGGAGGTACCTGCAGTCCCGCGCGGACGGCGCGTGGACACTTCAAGCGAGCTGAGTGATTGGGGGTGGTCTGCTCGAGCTGTTGGCCCAAGATCAAGATCGTACGTAAATGGACACGCAGTACAATCTGGACGCAGATACGCACCGGCTATCCATATACACGTGTGTATTCACCTACGTACCTGAAGTTTCGACAGGGAAGGAGGCGCTAGGCTTAAGGATATCGCGCATATCACCCGATCTGTAACGATCGGTCGCTCAAGCTGGACACCCTACTCGCTCCGGCCCCGTCGGTGTCCTTGAGGGACCATTGGATGCGATTCATGCTTGTAGGGAGCGTAGTGGTGCCGTGATAGCCATTTGTGTCTGTATCGTCGCGGCAAGTTGACTGTATGCGCGGAACAACGCGTTCGAATGGGGTGAATCCTTGAGGAAACGGAAAGTGCGCGTTCTCTGCTGTTCGTTCAAGATTGCACAATGCTCTTGCACATGGGAGTAACGAGTAGGCGACCCACCCACAGTGTTGAGGCAACGCGATGCGCCGACGGCGAAGCTTGCTCGAAATGGCCGCCTCTGCTAGCATGGCCATGCGGTGTATGCATATAATCACGGAATCATATGCGCACCTTAATGGAGGAATTCTGGGGCCCCTGCCACGTCGCATCCAGAACAGAAACAAACCGCGCAGTAGTAGATTTCGGCTGAATCTGCTGCACCACACGCAAGTGGTTATCAGTCCTCACAGAGCTTTCAGGTGATATGTGTACGAGGGAAGCTTGCGGTCGTTCTGAAGGTTGATGCATTGATGGATGTATGGAACTCTACTGCAATATCGTGTTGAGCTTTGCCCCAAGTGTGGTGCTATATGCGCATACCTTGTGGACACCGAAGCCATATATTGAAGGGAGAAGCAAGAAGGCGCTGGTGGCAACATGGAATTGATTGTCGTGGCTCGCATACAAGTTTATACAGCTGACATGGTACGGACGCGATGTCCTCGGGTATCCTTGCGCGTCTATTATAGCAGAATCTCTCACAATCACCACCCCCGCAGAAGCGTGACTATGACGTCAGCCAGCCTGTCACGTGACTCACGTCCTCTTTACTGCCAGCAAACGGTTTGGGCGGCATCATTCCTGCTCTCTCTTTGGCCCTTACCTTAGGCTCATATCTGGACTCCTGGCTTAAGGAACTTAGCCTCTGACTGTTGAACTGATTTTAGACACCGGTGGCTGCCTCACGTCGGTGACCGCGGATTGGCAGGTGTCCAGACCAGAACATGCCGTTCAACTTACCTGGAATCCTTGCGCCTCTTCACCTGTTGATCAATCCACGGCTGGTCCTGCCGAGTGTTGTCGTGAAAGGTCTGTGTATCGCTATCTACTTTGCTATTCTTGCGTCTGTGTTCTCTCCGCCCTGAATAACCCGCGATCTCATTATTTGTCTGGTCCTATGTGTTGGCGCACTTTTGACCAAGAAATGGCGACCAGCTATGTAATGGTCATGCTGATGCCCCGCGTTAGGAAGATATCCGCCAGATCGACTTTCAGGCATTGCACAAAGCAGGATATCGGGGTGCGGTGTTTGACAAGGATAATTGCCTAGTGAGTCCATCCACTGTGTACCTCAAGTTATTCCGAGTTGTCAGCCCGTATCGCCGTCCGAAGCGCCGTGGAAAGCGGTACGTTTCCCCCAGCATACTCCGGACCGCATCCACAAATCGCTGTTCGTCCACCCGTTCCCGTCACCCTGTCCATCCGTATTCTGTGCTACTCGTTTGAATGGTTTCCCGGCTTTTCTATCCTACGGACGCTGATGATTGATACAGACGATCCCCCATGAAGACTGTTTGGTACCAGAGCTCACGGTGAGTCCCGCTCCGCACGCCGATCCGACGTGCGTCAAGACGCTCACCCGGTCGCAGGACGCATGGCGAGAATGTCGGGAGACGTTCGGGCCGGGAAACGTGCTCATCGTGAGCAACACGGCCGGGTCACATATAGACGTTGGCGAGATCGAGGTATGTCCCACAAGCTTTTGCCGCTGCTGTCATCTCCGTCGCGCCGCAAGCTAAGCCGTTGTTGCTCCGCGGGGTTGGTCCAGGCTGAGTCCGTGACGCACCACCTCTCCGTCCCGGTGCTGCGCCACGCTTCGCTCAAGCCATCATACTCGTGCATCAAGAGCATCCGGGCGTACTTCAGGTCCCTCCCGCAGCCCGTGCGCGACGAGGAGCTCGTGATTGTGGGTGACCGGCTCCTAACGGATGTCATTATGGCGAACCGGATGGCGCGGAAAAAGCTCTCTCGAGGTGCGATCCCTCCTGATGAAAAGCGTGCTCTGATCGAGGAAAGGGACGAGGGCTCGGGGCCGGCGCTTCTGGACAGGGTTGGGCCGCTGGCAGTGTGGACGGACGGGCTGTGGAAGAGGGAGTCGTTGGTGCTGCGGGCGATCGAGAAAGGCATGCTGAAGGGTGTGGAGAGGTGGGTGCTAGGACCGCAGGAGGCTGCGTGGAGGGAGGGACTGCAGCATCGATTCGTGAAACCTGTGTCGGTGGTGGAGGAGCCGGCGGAATCCCGCGGGCTGGTGAGGAGGATATGGGAGAGGCTACAACGGTGATAGGTACGTGCATTGGCACGGAAAACTCCTCCGCGAAGCTGGCTTGTATTCGCCACAGCCCGTGATGTAATGATGTTACCCCCTGCTCTGCCTTACTATTCTGCGAGTCCATGCCACGCGAGCGCCCAGGAGCTATCGTCAACTCCGCGACAGTTTCAAGATCCAATGTGAATACCTTAGCGGGAGCTTGTTAGGACGGGCGGCGCACCTGGCGACTTCTATCGATTCACCGCCCAGCTAGCCCGGGCCTAGCCGCATGACAGTGGTCCTGTGTAGTTGAGTACGGACGGGCATCTCTTTCCACTGCAATCGTCCCCGTCCTTGTCACCCGCATCCTCTTCGTCCCTCCGTGGCTGAATCATACAGTGGGATACGTTGTAGAGAGGGACCTTGCTGCAAGGATCTCAATACGCCATCATATAATGTAAGCCATCTAAAGTTCATCCGATGTGACTTCGATCTTACGCCTAACATTCTCTCATCCAAAGCTGCCGACATTCTTGACTCGTATGGCCGATCCAAGTCCAAGAGAGGTATGCACGGTGTGTCGTTATGTGATATTATACGAAGGCCGTAGTGCATCTAAGTTGGTTCACGTTCTATAGGACAGCGGTGTGCATCACTCTGGGGTCCCCGTCGATTTCAGATACAGCGGGCACTATCTCGAGCAGGAAGATTGCGAAATCCTTGTGATCACATTTGACTGTTTCTTTTCCGTCCAAACAATGGGAACCCAGCGTGTTATCCATGTCCTTTTGAAGGAGAACGCCGTCGTCGCCGGAGCACCGGAGACCGAACTTGTTCGGTGGGCATTCGATGACGATGATGACACCGAACTTGAGGCATATCGCAACGCGGTCAAGAATCTGGTGAATACACATATCATCCCTGCTCTCAAGACTCTGCCACCTATTGCCCTCCTCGCCGCGTCTCCTCTCTCCGTTCTCGTGGCGTACACTGCCCCCGACCGTACGATGGGCTCGCGTCCGGGCATCCCGGATAGCTTGCAGGACTCGGAGTCGATGTACCTTGATCGGCTACCACCCATCGAGAGTCTGCAAGACATCCGTGCTCCGAGGGTCATATTTATCCACGACGTCGTCGCTCTTCGACTTCTCGATACTGGAAGCAGGGACGCAATGCGAGCCTTGCTGCCTGATTCGACAACCGTCCTGGTGCACTGCATACCCACAGTGATGATGCTGGTAGCCCCTTCATCCACTGGTGCGATGGTCGCTGGATTCTTCCGCGAGTTTGACGTCCTGCGGTCAATGCCGCCACACCCCAACGTCATCGGTCCGCCAGTCGCATACCTCTCTCGCGTTGTCCAAGGTCAAAAAGTGCTCTGCGGTTATGCTCTTCGCTGGCTGCCGGGCGGATGCATACGTGACATCGTCGAGGAGGCTGGCGACTTGGACATGACCCCGCTTCCTTGTCGCGTGAAATGGGCAACCCAGATTGCAGCCGGCTTGCACCACATTCACAGCGTGGGGCATACGTACCACGGCGATGTGAAGCTAGACAACGTGGTACTCGACGAGGACGACAATGCCGTTCTGATCGACTTCGAGCAGGGTCGGGCGAACGAAGAGGCGGTCGCCCCGGAGCTGAAGGCGGGGTATTCCGTCGAGCTCTCTCAGGACGGTCGGCGATTGTGTTACAAGCTTCCTGCATCTGGGGCGGACAGTCGGCCGCTCTGGCAGAGGAAGTTCCCCTTTAATGCTTGGAAGGATACATCAAGAGCGACTGAGGTGGCGGAGGTGTATACATTAGGTGTGGCGCTCCGTCTGCTTTTCCGAGATGGAGAGGCATCCTCCCGCGTAGAAAAAGTGTTGAAAAGGTGTGCGAGGGCGGACCCTAATGAACGCCCTAGATTGAATGAGGCAAAAGTTGTGTTAGGGCATTGGTATAACTCCTCCAGCTTGCAGATTAAATGAGATGCTATACTCGTGACCAACACTGTAATGCACTATACGGGTAGTATCCAAGCACTGAGTACTTGCTGGCTCCTGGTTCCCAGTAGTCTTACTCACGAGAGGAATCGTTCTATGGCATTATTGATGGTCAAGCGGGCGAATTTGGGGAGCATGGATGAACCACCGTAATTGTAGTCGTGTTGGATTGAATCTCGGGTTTGCAGTCTCGTAAGTCATTGATTCCAGCTGATGTAAAAACCAGCGTCGCGTTTCCCCCAGGCCTCCCTGTGCTCGGATCAGCGGCAGCCCCCTGCCGAGCCCCCCAAGCCGGCGCTCCGGCCACCTCCCAGTCGGGGGACAAGCTCGCCGTGACTGTGCGAAGTGTGCCCCGCCTCATTCTACGAGGTTTCAGAGCTACAGAACACACAATATTCTGCATGGAATGCTTCCCATGAATGCTTCCCATGCAGATCCCCGCTGTGCGCAGGTGCTTCCAGCAGTGGACCAGAGTCGGGCAATGTCCTCGGTGTGGTGTAGCTGGGGCTCGGCCGGCGTTTTCCGGTGATCCGAGCACATCCCTGGGCGCGGGGACTGTGACGCTGGTTTTTACATCAGCTGTCAATGACGTGATGCTTCAGCCGCACTCGGAACCAATCAGGCCAAGGAATGACACGGTATGTGACTCCGGAATATTACTACAGTATAACGTCACTTGCGCGATTTGTCGTCCAGCTTCCGTCACCATCTTAGGCTCATTTCCGAGTCCCGGGTCCGTTTTCCTCCCAATCTCTTTATATTTGGGCTCTAATTGTGCGTGCTATCCGCACCGTTCAAACGGTTTGAGTACGGATGCTTCGGAGCGGTACATCTGACATCACTCCAACTTGATTGCTACTTGATTGCTTGGGAAGTGTGTTGATCAAGGTCGGTGTCATATTGTCGACTTCCTCACCGTCACTTCCATGCTAGGCGGCAGGCCTGTATTCCTCTCTTCCCTTCCTCGTTTTCAGTGTTCAGCTGCGCTTATTCTCCGTTTATCCGCACTGGAAGACGGCGCAGCTATGATGGGAATTGGCAACTAACTCGACTTTGAAGCATTGCATAGAGCAGGATATTCGAGCGTGCTTGAGCTCCCTTCAGCTTCCCGTACGCCACGAGAAGCTCGTCACAGTGGACGACCGGCTTTCGACACGTAGTGTCATGGCGAATCTCATAGTCCTCAAATAGCTTCCTCAGGCTTTGAGTGCGAAGAATGTACAGATTTCGAGACCGGCACGTACGGATAGAGTTGAAACGCTTGCGGTGTGGACGGAGGGGTTACGGATTGTAGAGGAGGGACTGATGCTACGAGTGATTGAGGGCCGATTGCTGGAGGGTGAGGAGACGGATGCATGGAGTGAAGAGCCGCAGTATCAGTTCGAAGCCGTGTGCGTGAACGTCCTTCCACCCCGAATCTGGCTTGCAACATAAGCAAGGCATCGAATCGCTGGATAGTCAGCGGTCCTGCGTGCAGTGCCCTTCGTTCGTTCGTCCCCCCCGACAGGGGACTGATTCATTTCGGTGCATGTCGCGTTGCTCAACCTGTCTCTAGGTCTTGGCTAACTGAGCTAAGATCAACTCATGTCAGAAACGAGGCTGTCCAGAGGATTTGCTGTAGATACATGGACTTCCGTTCCATCGCAGCGAAGGGCCGAGTGTCACAGGTACTGGCCCGTATGCAGTAGAAGCACATTGATTCCAACCCTTCTCATAAAGCACAATGATTTGTCGTTGTAACTGCAGTATGTTATCGTCACTCAACCTTGGGCAGTGCGACCCACACAGGCGTGACAGTAACTTTCGATTGATCCCACTGATAGTGACAATGCGGTCATCAGCATTGCATCCAGATACCTCGCTCCTCTACTCACCACTTCTCCAGACGAGTAGTAGACGTCCTTCTTGAGTGCATCCCACGCCTGCTCAATGGTATCTGCTTGGACGACAAGGTAGGAGCCAGCGAGATTGTCATGGACGCCCGCGTCTGATGAGTTGCTCCCCTCAGGGAGGAGGGCGCCTCCAGCCACTGAGCAGTAGAGACGACGACCTTGTGAGACCCGGCTCGGTGCAACGGGTAACAGTGAACCGGCTTACCGATATACCCGTTCTCACTCAACGGCCTGTTGTACGTGAGGTGCTCGGGAGTGTGCTTCACGCGGTTTGCGTTAGCCCCAGGCAGATCAGGGGCGACGATCAAGAAGTAGTTCTTCTTTAGCGTGGGGGCAGACATAGTTATCGGCCGATGGTCGAAGAGGAAGATTGGGGTGCACTCTAGTCACAGATGCTACTGAGCTTTATAGACGTCGCACGCGTCAAGATCTCAGCGAGGACAAAAGATCGGAAGCACCTACGTGATTCCAGGCCAGATGAGCAAGCCATAGCCGCCGGACAGGTCTCTCGTCATTTTCCGATCGGCATAAGCCCGCCCGAACGCCAGAGAAGACGGTTGACTGTTCATAGTTGCGGCTCCGAGGCCGAGGTTCCCGCGTAACATGGTCCGCACAGATTTATAGGGATTTGCACATAGGTGATACAGCACCAGCTGCTAGAGGATGTAACCAGACTTCAATCACTTACCTGGTAGCCCGATATGCCTCCAGCACAATGCCCTTGTACCGCTGCGGAATGCATGGGTTAAAAATGCACGGGTAACGAGACACTGCGCCCGACGCAAGAGCATCGAGTGCTGAACAGTTGCAACGTGAGGGCCGCTGGCGCGTGTAATTTGCGCTACAACGCCGGCTCGTTACGATCGCAATGAAGATAGAGAGCAACTCACTTTCAATGAATGTTACGGTCCACTTCCCGTAGGGAAGCAGGATAAGGTTTGTTGTAGCCGATTTTGCGACTAAGCACGAGCCATAAATGGAATGCTTCGCCATCGAAGAACCCTTGGGAGCCTGCTGATACCGACTACGCTTCGAGCAACCTGGCTGACTATCGCGGCCAAGGCCACTCACGAGACAGTGAAGAAAATGCTGAGACACGAAGGGATGGGAAGAACTGAGATGTTCTCTGGAGCCGTCGGCGGGGATTGCAAAGCTGACGAATGGCGCAAACACCCGTATGGAGACCTCGGGCCGAACCACCACAAAGAAGTTTCAACGCATGAAAGAAAAGGAACTGCATTAGTACCTGTCGAAACATGCTGAAGTACATATTGCCGCTAGAGCTTGAGCTCCCAACTGACGCCGCATCCACAACCACTCCCCTTCGCCTATGAAAGCCGTCGTCGATATATGATGAGATTTCTTGGCGATCGGGCACGTAAATTAATGTGCCACAACTCACCTGTGGGTTATCTAGCACGCGGAAACTGCTCCCAATGAGCTCCGTCGCAAAGTCGACCACGGACCCCTTGAGCAACGACATGGACACTGCATCGACGTAAATATTTGACGGTTGTATCTGCGGGTGTACAAAGTGACTGTACATGCAAAAAATACCAGTTAGCACTCACAAACATGGCGATGTACGGCGCGTGACGAGAATGCACGCACTAGTCATCCCGTTCGCGCCTCTTCGCGAGCTCCATCTTGTACTGGTACCCATGACATCCTCCGCTCTCCACAGCGATGCGCAACGCGGCAGCAGCATCCTTCTCTCGTTGTGCAATTGAACGGAGTTGCTGCGCGTCCAGTAGGGTTGGATAGGATAGGAGGAAGAGTAAATGGGGAAGTGGACAGACGTACCTCGGCTGCTCTGTCCGTCATCTCTAGGACCGCCTCCTCTGGCGGAACAAAGTCTATGTCGGGAGCGTCCTCGTCCTCATCTTCTTCTCGGATATCTGAAGGCGATGGGTATGATACAATTTGAGCTTGATGGGAAGGTGGGCGCTGAGCGAGTGCCGCGCGTGCTGATGAGGTCGAAACGAATGTTCTCCGGCTGCCAGCGGGAGTAAACAGCGTTCGTGAAGACGCAGGCCAACAAATTCCAGGATTCGTGCGGCTTAGACGAGACGCAGACTGGGACGTCGTGGGTGCGAAAGCTGAAGCAGGAGCAGAGTCTCGCGACGCACGAGAGTACCAGCTTCTCAACGCGTCAGAACAATCGTGCGTGCACCGACGAGGGGCTGCGATACATTGTCTGAGTGAGCGGCTTAAGGGCTGTTGGAGAAACAGGATTGTGGATGTTGAGGTCATGGTTCACCGTCTTCGCCGGCCACAGTAAGGAGTCAAGGAGGTCGGGATCAAGAACGAGTGACCGAGCCTTGAGCGTCGCTGATGACTAAGTCGTCGGATCGGCATGCCCGGGCCGGAAGCGCTAAATGCAAATTGGATCGTCCAAGGCAGCTTTCTAGACACCCCACGGACCGTTCCTGCCATTGTTGCCGTGTACAAAAGCAGCGAAGATTCCAAAGAGACCGAGTCAAGACACCCCGCGACCGAGGCAGTCTTGAGAGATAAGGATGCCCTACTTCGCCGTATACGCTCCCGACTACACGGACGATGGCGCCTTAGAGCGTCGACTCAAAGTTCGCGAGGAGCATCTCGCCAATGCTCACAAGGAGCCCAGGCTCAGTGAGTTTGTTGTTTGTTTCACGCTTGTGGGATGGGGTTGATGTGTACATGCAGAGGTGGGAGGTGCAATACTCTCCCCGAACGAGGCGCTCGACACGCCGGACGCAGAGAAGAAAATGGCCGGGTCCTTGATGATCTTCGAAGCAAACTCTTACGCCGAAGTCAAGGCCCTCATCGAGAGCGACGTATACTGGACTGGGAACGTTGTATGTTCGAGTTGACCTTACCTGCTACCGACGCTGACCTTTGCGTCTTCGACAGTGGGACAAGGAGAAGACGGTGATCCGTCCTTGGGTCTCGCCCAAGCCGCTTTAGCTTCAGCGAGGATATGACCACGCTGATGTAACAGAAAGACGAAGTGAAACAAATGTAACATTTAACTCGTTGCTGTACCCCCCTATCCCCCGTTACTCATCTCCGAGTTGTGCCGATGGAAGCCAGTGCGAGCTAGAGTTCTAGGACAATCTCGTCAGTCTTTTCAAGCATCCGAATGCTAAAGCATCAAGACGCGCTGTGTCTAAGGTGGTGGAACCAAGTGCTGTGGGCCTTCCCATTATTCGTCCCGAGTCGCAGAGGAAGTCAGCCTAGTGTCTCCTCTATGTCCGCTTTTCAGCTCCTGAGGGCACTGCGTCCAACAATGTGTGGTTTGATCTGGCATCGTCTCTAACATCTTATACGATGCCTCAACTACGGCGGGCTCGACTGGATAGTCAGACCGACCTCAGGTGTTTTACGAGTCGCAGGTCTCGAGGTTCGAGGGGTACCGATCTCCACTCTTCTACTCCACCTTTTGATCATCGATGCCATATCACGGCTCCGCGGAGACACCAGATATCGCTCTAAACAGTTGCGAGCCCTGCACTCGAGCACTCGCAATCGTTGAGATTACCAGCAAGCAGCCCCAGTGAGGTTCACGGGTAGTCGCGGGCATACCTGCCAAGTCTGACTTAGGTCCGCGCGACTTCGTGTGTCCGAAGTTCTTCACATTGATCGGCGCATGCGCTTGACTGGTTCCCTGGTCTACGGCCTGTGGCATGCCGTCTTTCTCGCCTTCTCTTCTATCTTCTGTTGTTTCAATTGTCCCTGGCTGTGGTGTACCAGTCTGGATGATATGGCCCGCATCTTATGCAGGACGCCTATGTCCTTCGCTGGAGATCAATCATCTAGACCGCTTCCGTCGCATATTGCAGTTCAAAGACAACGTCTGTAGGAGATGCCAGATGTGAGAATGGTGCCTTACGTATCAATACAAGGTTTCGAAGATTGAAGAAGTCTAACAGTACACATGATGAGTCCGAATCCTTCCTGGACATCCGAGTACACCGCTTAAATGTGAAATTATGTAGTGGTTATGTCTACGAATTACGCAATGCCGACCCTGCCGCATTGTCCGACTCCAAGGCAGTGGACGATGTCGACGCTCGTGCTTCTGCAGGTCGAGATGTAGGCGCTTCAGGAAACTCTTTCGTATTGGCCAACGTGTTGTCAGACCACATCAAGAACGCCATCTCCGGCGGAAACGGTGAGAAACCGTCCATATGGAGATCAGAGAACACATCTCCTTCTGAAAGCTCGGATGCAGACGCAGGTGGAAAGGGGCTGCCGTCGTTGGTACCAGATGTCAGCCTGTCACCGAAGAAGCGATCGTAGTTGTCTGGGAACGCAGGTCCGATGTCGAACGACACGCCGTTGTCGGATGCCGCAAGCGGGTTGTCCAGATTGTCAGGTCGCGCACCGTCGGTCGCTCCGCTTTTCTGGCTCCTAGATGCCGCGATGTATAGGTTATGAGATAATTCATGGGGTGCGTGATCGGGCATGTCCCGATGAGCGGACGAGAGCGCGCCGTACGGCTTTGGGAAGGAGGAAATGTCAGGTCCCTGAACGGACGTGTAGTTTGGTGGGTCAATGGACGCTTCGTGGGGAAACTGCGGCACGATACTGTGGCCTCGTACAGGTGCGCCTTGCCATTCTGAGGCGGAGTCATGACTAGGTCTTGGACCGAACGCTTCACTGTGATCAGGTTGATGAGGGGCGTGGTTAGGAGCATGAACAGACGTGATACTGGGACCCTGGCCCGGTGTGTGAAAGGACCCAGGGCCGTACGCACTTCCGTACCCAAAACCACGTGGATACCGGATATCTGGAGGCACTGCGCGGCTTGGGCCATGCCTAGGTTGTGCGTTCTCTGGTCGGTACAGATGCTCGCGCTGCGATAGCTGGGGGTGTCCCTCGTGTGTGTATGAGGCGTAGTGGAAGTTGTTGGGTACTATTCCTGACCCGTACTGTTGGACTTGGGAAGGTGGAGGCGCAGATGGGTCTGATGGCGGGTATGCTACGTGCAGCAATACGTTTCCCAAGGGGTGTGGGTGATACTGTGGTGGAGGCGGCGCATTTGCCAGTGAGTCCGGTGGTACGACCCATGAAGCTACTCCGGCCATTTTGGTATGCGAGTGAGGTTGGGGACTTTGGGGAGGCTGAAATATTGGGTACGCAGGTGCAGGCACGGGAGTGGGAGCAATGGGTATGGGCCGATTGAACGCAGAAACCTCCGCCTTGAACCTCTCCTTCTGCCTCTCCTGTTGCGCCTTGACGAGCTTCTGCTCGAATTCTTGTATGTTTTGCTCGTGGAAGGTCCGCAAAACGTAGTCAGTATGACGTGCGGCCGATACCATGGAGAGAGAGCGATATAGATAGAGTGTGTCCATATTACACTCCCATGTCAGCGAGGACGACTCAAGCATGTCGAGGTTAACGAGGCGCGCTTGCTCAATATCGAGCTCTACTGCGGTTGGCGTGCTGCCCCGCCGTGCGGGGCACGCCATAGGAGGATATGGAGCAACGGGCGCATGGAGGAGGGCCTCGGGGTCGTCGCGATCCACGCCCTAGTAGAGCGTGTGACGGACATATTAGTACCGAGGACAGCGTCACGGAGATGGATGACGGGAGATGACTCACCTCGTAGAACTTGCGCCGCATATGCTCTGCCTTGTCTGGTGGGGCTCGATGTGGTTTCTCTTGTTCCCTTTCGCGTCTTGTGTACTGGTCGCGACCGTGCGGTGGAACGTTGTTCAACATGACTCCAAATGTCTGGCGCTCCGGTACGAAAGGAAGGTGGTGAGGTTGCGCCGGGGTATCTGAAGTCGAGTGGCTCAACTTCTGAAGGACTGTGCCACTCGGCTAGTTAGTGAGAACATCCGATGATCCGGCCCGGCGTGCAACGGACTGTTGAACAGGCGCTGGTTTACACAGCTTGCCTAACACAGCCGTCACAAGATATGGAACGGCACAGCCGGTTACTGCAATAACCGAGGCTGTACTACTCATGTGGTACACACACAGCTTCGCTGTGTACGCACTGCTTCTCTGTGCAACTGTGCATCCTGGGAATGTACTGTATAGTACTACGTAGCCACAGATGTACAGTAGTATATATAGGGGACCTCTGTACCCCCA